ATAGAAATTGATTTGGTATTTTTCAATTTTTTTCAGTTAATTTTCAACTAGATTCTGATGTTCTATATCTGGACGATTCTAAACAATTCAATGCCGAACATCCTTTTGTTTTTTACATCAGAAACGAATCAGTATTATTATTAATAGGAAAACTTGTACTATAGATGAGATGGCTCATTATGTTACGTTGTATATAAGTACTTATATTGTATAATTAATATATCGGGGATATCCTTGTTTGGTTCAATAAATGATTGCAGAAATCGATCCTACTTTATTACATCCTGTATAAGGCATCTAGTGCAGTAGTTATTTGTTGTTCACTGCATAAATTTCTTTTCATAGTATTTACTAGAGTCACTGGATGGTATTAGATCAGTCAGATGACAACCTAGTGAGGTAGTTAGTTAGTAGGCAAGATTACCTCCTCGCACTAGGTCGCCTACTAGGTTTTCATTTAGATCTGAAATGGTTAGATAATAGTATATTGTGCAACAAGTGGGAAAAGTTAAACTTTTCTCACGAGTGCAAAAGTTTGTGACACGAGCCTGAAGAGCGAGTGATGCAAACGCACGAGTGAGAATAGTGCTTGAGTCACCCTGTATGAAGCGGAATAATTTCGAAATGTACTGCTCATGATCCTCGATCATCTCTGAAGTTTTTGTTCATCTATCTCAAATAGTAGAGCCGTTATCTCACTTTGCCACACTAATGACTCACCCTGTATATTCATAGCAGAGCGACATCAAGTTCACTTCAACACGACATGTCGCAGAGACAATGGCTGCTTAACAAAATGTAATCTGTATTTTACCCCCTTCTGGGAAACACATCTTAATATGTTTGTACCGTATTTTACCATAATGTTGTTAGTTTCAAACTGGACCAGAGATATTTTTAAGGACAAATCCGACTGAAACTGAGAATTCTACACCACCCTGTATTTGTTTCAATTAAATACGAGTAAATAGTAAATCAAAAGTTAAGATATGGACATGTGAGCCGTTTTGACCAATAATGAATAGTTTTGACACAAAAAATTCCCAAAAATGAAAAATCTCGATTTTCCACATCCTATATCTCGGAAATCGTTTCCGCTAGACCCCAAGTGTGCTAGGTCGTTGAATTCAGCTCTTCAAGGAGAATATGAAAATGCAATGAAATACAGGGTGTTCCGTTCGAAAAAATTGATGTTCGATTTTGTGAGCCTTCCTTGCGCCCCTCGTATAAAATATAGCCATTCCTGAAGATAGCACTCATGATGCGATATGATGTGGAATTATAATATTTTGAAAATTCCTATTGGTGCAGAAGATATTTAACTGTCCCACTGGTCTAGGGACACCCTGTATACCCATTTTTTTGTGTTCATAAATACAGAGTGGGCCTTTGAAAACGAAACAGAGGCTCTGTAGGTCGCCAAAACCGGATCAAAAAAAACTGAAACAGGTCAACTACATTTTCGAGGGGGACATCTTTCTGAAATATTTTCAGCCCTGCGGCGTTGCCACTTCTAAAGAAAAGAAGCAACAACTTTGTTATTTCAAATGGAACACCTTGTATTTTATTGCATTTTTAGATTCTCCCCGAAGAGCTGATTCCATCAATGCATCACACTTGGGGTCTAGCTGTAATGGTTTCAGGGATATAAAGTGTTCAAAATCGAGATTTTTCAACTTTAACATTTTTTTGTGTCGAAACTATTCATTATTGGTCAAAACGGCTCTCATGTCCCTATCTCAACTTGTGATTTACTATCTACTGACATTTATTTGAAACAAATACAGGGTGGTTCAAGATTCAGAATTCTGATCACCCTGTATCTGTTCCAATTAAATGTTAGTAGATAGTGAATCACAAGTTGAGATAGGGACATGGGAGTCGTTTTGACCAATAATGATTAGTTTCGACACAAAAAAATGTTGAAGTTGAAAAATCTCGATTTTGAACACTTTATATCCCTGAAACCATTACAGCTAGACCCCAAGTGTGATGCATTGATGAAATCAGATTTTCGGGGAGAATCTAAAAATGCAATAAAATACAAGGTGTTCCTTTGAAATAACAAAGTTTTTGCTTCTTTTCGTTAGCAGCGGCAACGCCGCAGGGATGAAAATATTGTGGGACGATGTCCTCCTCGAAAATGTAGATGACGTGTTTCAGATTCTTTTCATAATCCGGTTTTGGCGACCTACACAGCCTCTGTTTCGTTTTCAAAGGCCCACTCTGTATATCTGAGAATGTTCCTTCTCAATATTGTGGATTTCGATGAAAGATTCCGTATAATAATTTGATCCATCACTTCCATCGAAACCATAACAACGCATCTCAAGTCAAGTGTGTGACTTTGTATTGACATTCAAAAAATTCATGACACGAATGTCAACTATGCTGTTGAATATAGTCGAGAATTTCAACTTACCTATTCTGATAAATCGCAGCTGAATGAAAATGGGTAATTGGCAGCTGGAGATTGCCAAATTGGCTATATACGTGAGTTTCCCAATCTGCATTTTCTATTATTTCAATCAGCCACAACACTTTGAGGAATGGGTGGTGAACAAAAAGAGAGAAATATATCCCCCTGAAGACAGAGCTACGAAGGATAAATTTCTTGATGCCGTAAGATCCATAAGAGAAAAACAAGATATGCGTTCTATTGCCAGTTTAGAGAACAAAACTACCTAGTTGATTGATTTTTTTTAAAATAAGATTATAACTTGATACTTCATCTGAAAGTTGTTCTGAATAAACACACATATTATTTGTTGTTTTGTGTTATGGCTTTTATAAGTATAATAGAATAAGGTTATGCAATAAGAGTTCATCAACATTTTTATTTCATAATTCGATAGAACTCACCCAAACTAGCTCACCACCGCAAACCGTTTATTGCTGTGAGCTCCGTACGTTTTATAAAAAAATATTGAAATCGCCGATTTTTCGGACCTCCGAAAACGAGGCGATGATGTGACGTCAAAATCCTAATACTGAAACAAGACTATTCCAGACAGATATGAATGATACATGATTTCTGACAGAGTGAATTAGCGCGAGATCACAGTTGAAAGAATTAATATATCAGTTGCCTCAGTCTCCGTCGGGCGTTTGATATTTTCTTTTAATCATGGCGAGATGAGGTTTCTACGTCATAATAGGGTCCGTTTTCAGAAGGTACTGTTATTTATGTCCAAAAATGAAACATTCCAGTTAATTTTTCGATCGAATTATGTCGTCGATCATTATTTAAACAACATATAAACAACAACAATTGTGCCCATACGTCACCTGCTATGAAGAAATACATTTTTTTTATTAAACACATTTTACATTTTCTTCGAGGTCCTATTTTGCTGTACAAGTAGGTACAGAGAAGTGACCCAGAAATTTTACATAAACGCGTAGGAATTACATGGATAAGAGCTGTATTAAAAAACTAGCAGTATTGCCAAAATGTTGGTTCTTTTTTTTTAAATAATAATATTTATTTGATTCTTTGCTATAAACATAACATTGCATCTCATATAAATATAAATATATTTTACTAAGATTCACAATAAAATAACATGAATAATCAGACCGATTCATATCTGGTATGATATTATTCAGATTCAAAAATAATAATAATAAAACAAAAAGCTCATGAAAAGTACATTATGACATGAGGAAATAAATGATTAGTGAATGAGAAATCATTCACTCAAGGTTTGATTTTCTCTTTGCAAGAGGATAATGTTTCTTGACTTTGATTTTGAATTGGGTGATATTTGTGCAACTTTTGAAATCATCAGGTAATTTATTGAATTTCTGTGAGTTAACTTTTTTTGGCCAAGTGTATAATTAGCAGCATCAAGATGAAACAAGTCATATTGTCTAGTATGATGTTCATGGATTTGAGAATTCCTTACCAATATGAAGTTAGATTTGAGGTGTTTGTTGATAATATCAAAAGAAATTTTGAGAGTATTCATCAGATAGTGCGATTTTCGAGTCTACTCTAACAAAATGTTAGGTGTACTTTTGCTTTGATCATATTTGGTGCTTGGGAAGGTGTTGGTGTTCACTTCTTCTTCAATCAGTAAGTATGGTTCCTTTTCTGCTATGTTATGCCTATTTTGCTTTTGTATCATAGATACATACGTAACATGCTTTTCCTTTCATAAGAAATATCGTTTTTTTTTTGTAAAAAAAAGTCCCTTAACGCCAAATCAAACATGCTATTTCCATCTTCAAACAATATATTCTGGACTCAAAAAACAAGAAACTTCCTCAGCATCATGAAATTGAGGATATTGTTAGTAACATGTTTGAAGGCGATATATCGTAGATATAAAAAAATGAAGAATTCAATCAATTTCTACATCTTTTCAGTATTTGGTATAGCTTTGAGTGCTCCATATGCTCCAAGACATCCCATTCATTTCCATGCTCATCATCCATTTTCCTTCTACATCAGAGAAAACACACACGGGGCGGTGCTTTTCGTTGGAAAATTGAATCATAAATAATGAACTGGTAAGACTCAAAATCTTTTTTCATGAAGATAGTGCTTTATTTTTCCTAGACCAACGTCCAACTGAAGTGCATTTGAGGTTTCTCAATCGTTCATTTCTTCAAATCGTTTACTGTATACGATTTAGAGGAGTGGTCCCAATTCAGAACCTTGTGGAACAGTGTTAGATTGGCTATAGACAACACAGTTTTATCGTTGATTATTCAAACAGTGTTTGACGATTACTCAACAGTTGTTGACTAGTTAATATACAGGATGATACATACTAACAAGTAAATACAAGTTTGGAACATATTTATTCAAAACCCTGATTGCTAAAAAGAATCTGGAACTAGGAATAAAAATAAGATAAGATGACAGATACATGGAACATTACACTAGACGTAGATGAACGAATATGAGTTTTTTATTTTAATTTCATTTTTTCCTTACTATACCTATAATGAAATCATTATGATCATTTTTTTGAAATTCATTATTGTTTCAGTGATGACAAACTATCAATCTGCTATTGTTTACTATGGACCACCACCCTCAGTGTTTCATGCTAGTTAAAGTTTGAATCCGGGAAATCTTATTTTTAAAAAGATTTATTTCGGAACAGAACTTAACAAAAATCAAAATTAGGTACCAAGTGAACAGTAAGAATTCTAAAGTCAGACTAACTATAAAATATGGAATATACTTCAAGTGAATACGCAAAGTCAGCATCTCGGCACCGTTCTCATGAGAACTCTAGGAATCCGTAACGGCGGTGGCTTCAGATATCGCTGAATAAAGGTGGAATCAAATTGTAACTACTTCATCCCCTGAAGAAGTTTTGTGAGGGACGAACAGAACTGAAGACTGCGGTGCTGGCTTCTGCGATGTCTTCTTTGGGCAGGTGAGGAATCGGCGCCACTTGTAACAAATGGCTGCTAGGATGGCTGCGACGACGATGTATACCGGGGCTGTCCAAAAGTGACTGTGGTCGGCGGCTTCTCTGATGACTAAGGGTTGAAGGTGTTCTTGCTCGCTTTGGATTTGGTGGAGTTCATCGAGGGCGACTTTCTCCAGGCGGATCGGGCTCAGATGTTTCATCGGTTCACTGTTGATGGTCTTGATTCTTGGCAGGGTTAGCGGTTCTTCGTGTACCACTTCTTTGGAATTTATGTAGCTGTCTTCGGGGGTGTGAAACTCACAGCCTGGTGGTAACTCGATGAGAAACGTCCCTTGAAGTACTGATATGCCTGATACTTGGCATTGGGTGGCGATTTTCGTCGATTGTGGAAATATACCGACGTAGTGGGCTTCAGTCAGTTGTTCGATCAGAGTAGCATTGATCGATATTGGAACTAGTTGGCATTGGGCGGCTTCGTCTGAGAGCTGAAGAATCTGGGAGATGCAATCTGGACTACGTGTTCGGTATTGAATGGCAATACTTGGGCAAAGGTACCCGGGATCGATTTTTCGGCATGGTCTATCTGTATACTGGTGGAGTTCTGTATTCATTGTCAGATAAGGTTTGGGTGGAATAATGGTGGTTAAGTTACTAGTAGGGATTGAGAATAAGTGGTAATGATTGAATATATCTGGTATTAGGAGTGGAAAGTGTAAAATGAAAACGATCATAGATTTTGAGTAATAGGCGTCGACTGATATGACATCATAGTATTTCAGCAGGTCTTCTTCGTTTATATACGGGAGCTGTTCCTCTGAGTGGTGTCTTAACATTATATCGGTTATTGATTTCAATTCATTGGTTCTGATGATACTATTATGAAGGGTATTGATTCTTGCGAATGTAACTGCATTTTCTAGATCGGTGAGTAGTTGAAGTATTAGTTGTAACGAGAGGCTTATCTGGTCCAGGATATTTCTTGTTAGCATGTAATCATTGAATTCGAATACGAATTTATTGAGTTTGGATCGAATCGTATCGATTTCTCTGACAATTACTTCTTGGTTGTGTGTTATTAAGGTAACTGTATTGTTGAAGTTCTCTATAAGTCGAGTTGTTAGTGACATGTGTTGATTCAAACGTTGAATGACGTTCTTCTGATTGCTTTGGAGGGTGGTTATGGCGTTATCATATTTTTCGGCATCTTCATTGTCCAAATTACCAGATATAGCTTTGATAATGCTGCCAAAGGCATTGATTAGGCCTCTCTTACTTCGGTGAGACGGGTAGATTGTCTGAAATTTTCGATGTACTGCGTCTAATTGGTATCGTAATCCTTGGTCAAAATTTTGAAGACTGTCGAAATATGGGTGGCTTAGTCCATCAGCGATAGCGACTGTGACCTTCTCGTACTGGTCTGTTAGGGCGTCTATTTCTATGGCGATTGGTGTGAGGTTGTAGTAGTGTATGAAATCATGGGAACTAATTTGTATTTTGGCTTGGCCCAGCTTGAGGGGAAGGATCCCTGGGTTGTCTTTGAGATCCTGGATCCTGATTTCCTGTCCCAGCACGGGATTCCATCTGCAACGAGGATTCACGGTCAATTCTTCGTTCGGACTTGTGTTTTATATTTTTCTTATGTATAGTTGTATTGGGTAATTTAACAGTGACTGGATTATTTGATGTCACGATCTTTCGAGTGAATCTGGGTAATAATTTGTTCCGTTTCTCTGTGGTTTTAGTATAGATATTAGTGTTCGTTTTGTAGGTTATTGGCACTTGTCTTTTCTCATTGCGTTTTTCAATTGTTCTTTCTTTGATCTCGATTGCTTTCTGATTGAGTTCCTTGTAGATTGCCATGGCCTTTTCTCTGTGTTGTTGAGCATAATTATTGAGCAGTGTTTTTTCAATATCAATATCGAATGGGTCCAAGGGGTCCAAATGTCCATTCAAAATATCAATTGGCTTCTGTTTGGTGACGGAATGTATAGAGTTGTTATACCCTAGAATAGCATATGGCATATGTTCTTTTACATTGAAGTTTGAATTTTGGCCTTTTATAACTCGAAGATGTTCTATTAAGGTTGAATGAAATCTTTCTATCATACCATTGGATTGGGGATTCTCTGGTGTGGTATAATGAATTGAAATTTTATGAGTATCTATGAAATCTCTCATTAGTCCATTTTTAAACTCTGTTCCATTGTCCGAAATTATTAATTTTGGTAGTCCGTGGTGTGTTATGAAAATAAGAAGTGCGTTTATTATATTTATTGCATTTGAACCATCTATAGGGTAAGCTTGAGCATATTTGGAGAATGCGTCAATTAAAGTGAGAAATTTTTGCCCGTTTGCCTGAAATGTGTCTATATGAACAACTTCCATTGGTTTTGTAGGTGTTGGTGTGATCATGAATTTAGGTTTAGCTGGTTTTCTGTCATATTTATTTGCTTGACAGATTTCACAAAAATCGATGTATTCTTGAATGTCATTTTTTATTGATGGCCAATAATATCTTCGTCTTAGCTGAATTTCTGTCTCATTAATACCCCTATGGTTGGTTTTTCCCTCATGATAGTTTTTTATGATTTCTCGCTGATTCTCCGCGTTCGCAACATCTTCTAATATCTCACTACATTTGACTAAGTCATATGCAGTGTTTTTGAATGTCCTTTGGAGTATATCACATGTGGCTTGGTAGTATTCATCTTGGTTGAAATATAAGGCATATTTAATTTTTGGTGGAATATAGTCTTTGAAAAATTTTATGATGTTGTTTTCCATATCGTGCAGTCCTATCTGGGCGTGGATTCTCTTTTTATTTGGAAATATTTGTTCTGTTATTGGTCCGATAGGGTTGAAATTGACGAAATTTAGCTTAACCTGGTTATTGTAGTAATTCAGTGGTTTTTCAGATATTGGAATATTTAGAGCTGGATTTTCGTGATTCGAATGAACAGTTATATCGCTTCTTGACTCGTCTGGAATTTCGTCGGCCGTCTCAGTTTCAGATGTTTCGTTATTACCTTGTCGTAAGTCGGGTCGCTCGTCAGCTGTTTCTGTTGACGAAGTATCGTTGCTTTTCCTGCGATCGGGTAGGTCAGTTTCCTCGTGGGATGTCGCATGATGGTTTTCAACAGCTGATTGTTGAGGAAGGTCGGGGTGATCATCTAGTTGTTCGTTATCAATGTCGGTCTGTCTGTCTGATGCATTATTGTACATGGATGCATTGTCCGCATTGTTCGAGGCTGAAAGTGTTTCGTTGATTTTATTCACGTATTCCTCTAATTCTCGCAATTCTTTGGTTTGGATTTCGATTCGCGATAGTGCATCAGCATTTGTGTTAGCTTTTCCTTTCTTGTAGATTACCTCGTAGTCAAACTCTTCCAATTTGAGCCTCCATCTTACTAATTTTGAATTGGCATCTTTTAGCGAGAATAGCCATTGAAGTGGGCGGTGATCTGATAAAATTTTAAATTTTCTGCCAAATAGGTATGGTCTAAAGTATTTCGTTGCCCATACGATTGCTAACATCTCCTTCTCTATCGTAGAGTAATTTTGTTCAGTATTGCTTAGCGTTCTTGAAGCATAGGCTACTGGTTTGTCTTTGCCTACCGGTCCTTGAGACAATATAGCTCCAATAGCGTAATTACTTGCGTCTGTCGTAAGGTTAAATGGCTTAGATAGGTCAGGGTACTGTAGCAATGGTTCATTTGTCAAGAGGTTTTTACAAGTTTCGAAGCACTGAATGAATTGCGGCGTATGTTCTATTTTTGCATCCTTTTTCAGACATGCTGTCAGTGGCTTTGTAATTTTTGCAAGGTCTTTAATGAATTTTCGGTAGTAACCGAGAAGTCCCAAAAATCCTTTAATTTCCTTTGGTGTCTTAGGTATGGGGTATCTTAGGATTGCTCTTATTTTATCAGGGTTTGGTTTTATTCCTTCGGGTGTGATGACATGTCCGAGAAACGCAACTTCCTTCTGTAGGAATTCAGACTTGTCAAGTTGAATCTTTAAGTTTGTTTCTCGCAGCCTTTGGAATACTTTGGTGAGGTTAACCATATGTTCTTGTAGGGATGTTGAGTAGATAATGATGTCATCCATGTAGACGAGACATATATGACCTTGAAGTCCCTTTAAAACGTTGTCCATTACCCTGCTAAATGTTGCGGGGGCGTTCTTGAGCCCGAAAGGCATTCGCACATACTCATAATGGCCATGTTCTACGTTAAATGCAGTTTTCTGAATGTCTTCCTTCGCCATCTCGATTTGATGGAATCCACTGGCAAGGTCGAGTGTCGTAAAGTACTGACACCGTCCAAGCTTATCGAGAATGTCAGAGATATTCGGTAGTGGATACCTATCGTCAATGGTTTTCTCATTAACTTTTCTATAGTCCACTACTATTCTCCATTTGATTTTTCCAGAGGCGTCCGGTTTTTTAGGGACAACCCATATTGGCGAAGACCAGGGCGAATTACTGGGTCGTATGATTTGTTGTTCTAGCATGGAAGAAATTTGGTTTTGGACTTCTTCTTTATGAACATGTGGGTACCTATATGACTTTGTATACACGGGTATCTCGTCTTTGGTCTTAATATGGTGTTTTACCTGATTGGTAAATGTCAGTGGCGTATCAGGCCTGTGAAAGATGTCCAAGTATTTTTTACATAAGGTAGTGATTTGTTTCTTTTCGTCTGAATTTAAATGGTCGATCCTAATCAAGCTTTCGATGTCTATTTCTTGTGGTGCCAATGGGCTAATGTCTGCTGTGTATAGGTGGTAGTCATCCAGATGTATTTCAGAGGTATTGATTGGTTCTGATAGGGTAAGTTGTAGTTTTTGATCGCTGCTGTTGATAAGTTCAGCCCAGGCCATTTGATTGCATGCTTGGCTTAGTGTCTCTCGCAATAAGGCTCCTTGAATTACTTGTTGTGGTAATATAATGGGTCCTTCGTTTTCTTTAACAGGGAGTCTAACTCGAGTAACGGAACGGGGGTCTAGTTGTATAGAGAAAAATTGCTTTTGATCTGTTTCGTAGTACTGAATAGGAATGTTAGAATGTTGCGTGATTAATTTTGAGTTCGGAAAATCTAAGTGGGCTTGCAATAATTTAAGGTTATCTAATCCAATCAAGCCATCGAAAGTTTTATGGAATTTAAAGAGATAAAATTTCATCTTCGAATTATTCTTGAATTCTGAGAAACTTGGAATTTCGGCACTATGGTCCTGAGAATAATTTTGAAATATTGAAGTTACAACAAAAGGTTCATGTTTAATGCAAGTTTTATATTTTTTGAATGCAATGTCAGGGTTCAAAAAGGATTTTGTCGCTCCGGTATCTATAAGTAGTTTTAATGGTGGATCAGCAATACTTATATATGGCAATTCTTTTTTGTCTGCGAAACTATGAAGTTCTACTATATCTCGTGATTTTGGGTGTTGTCTGACTGAAAATTTACATTGTGGTCGTCAGATGAAAATTCCAGGTTTTCTTCGTAGGTATAATCTTCTTGCGTTTCGGTATAATCCTCATGATTGTACGGATATGAGGAGTCTTCATACAATAGTTGCTCAGAATCTTGGTGTTCCAAGTTATACACTTCTTCAGAGACATTTTGAAGTGGGTAATTTTGGTAATTGTTTTGGAAGGGTCTTCGATATTGATTTGATGGTCCTGCTGTATTTCGGGTACTTATGCTCATTTGAGTCGGCCTATTCTGGGTTTGTGATGTATTTCTCGAAACTATACTCATTGGTGTAGCTCTAGGTTGGAAATTTCCAGAATTATTTCTTGGGGCCCAGACATTTTGTGGTTTTCCGAAAACTTGTTGATTTGTGAAGAATTTTTGACGTGGTTGATTATTAGTTCTCTGAGGGAGGTTAATTGGTCCTTGCGGAAATACAGGTCTTGATTGCGTCATGGGTTGGTGGTGCCAATTTGAATTTTGTACTTGTGGTCTGAAATTTCTTTGTTGTACCGGCATATGTTTCCTATCTGGTGCGGAATTAGTGGATCCGTTATTTCTTTGCAAATAGCGTATATTATTTTCTTCTTGTATGTACTGCATTGCGATTGCCAAATTATTCGGCCTCATGGCTCTGATTGTTGAGCCTAACGGTTCTCTGAGACCTGCTAAGAACGTAGTGAGAGTTTGTTGTTGAAAAAATGCCTTCTTACTCTGCTTTACGACAGCATTATCATTATGAATATCTAAGTAATTTGAAATGGTGTTCAAAAGTCCCATGCATCGCTCGTAAAACTGAAGAGGTGATTCGTTCTGCTGTCTCATGTTGACCAAATCTCTTGTCAATGAATTTTCGTCTCGTTGATCTCCGAAATTTTGAATTAATGTGTTTTTGATTGAAGGCCAATCGTCACAACCGTATATTGATACAACTTCCTTCGCTCTGCCTGTCAATTTGTTAATTATTCCTTGCAGAAGTAGAACATTTTGTAGAGAAGTCGGGTTAGTTTGATCATAATAATGATTTAATAGCGTAGACGCCACTCTGATGAAATCGTAGAGTGCGTTTGGGCTTCCATCGTATTCTGGTAGAATGCACAAGTTCTTAACGTCGAATGGTGATGGTGGAGCCATGGTATTATTTTCGGAAATTGTTAATATTTCACGAAATAAGTTACTCAAATCTGAATTTACACTGGTACTATGGGGATTGGATAAAGGGGAGTCTGACATGAAAAGGTACTCACAGTAAGATAGTGATGATGATCAAAACCATTCCTTCTTCTGCTGTGATGTCCTTCCGGTGGTTATCCTTGGTGGTTAGCGACGATGCTTCCTTCCAGGGACGAGGTTCTCGAGATCGCGAACAAACGTTTAAAAACGACGAGGATCTATTCAAAAAGACTCTTTCGCGATCCTACCGACTGCGCCAGTTAAAGTTTGAATCCGGGAAATCTTATTTTTAAAAAGATTTATTTCGGAACAGAACTTAACAAAAATCAAAATTAGGTACCAAGTGAACAGTAAGAATTCTAAAGTCAGACTAACTATAAAATATGGAATATACTTCAAGTGAATACGCAAAGTCAGCATCTCGGCACCGTTCTCATGAGAACTCTAGGAATCCGTAACGGCGGTGGCTTCAGATATCGCTGAATAAAGGTGGAATCAAATTGTAACTTGCTGATCATTCCTTTGTTTTTTCCATAGTAACGAACAATGTGGTGATCTTCTCTGGCCGTATACAGGGAGATTTCAAGTTGAATCACTGATTTTCTGATTTTTCTGTGTATTTCAATGATATGATTGAGATGTATGGAAATTTAACTGGTGCGCTTGCTTCCTATTGAAGGTCGTTTGCAAGTTTCTCGATGGCGCCTACTCTGATAAACCTTTGATAAACATACTTGACGTGGGTAAATCTCGCTAAGCTCATCCTGGTTACAATCCATATTTACAGGAAACATATTACCGACCGATAAATATTTGGATACGTTTATGATTTGGATCAGAGCAGTGAACTGATTCCTGATCAAAGGATCGAAACGTCAATATGTCAAAAATATTCTTGAGCTGAAAAAATGGTTATTTCTGAGATTGGGGTCAAGTGTTCGTTAGGGACGTGTTCCGTAGTTTCTAAATTTTGTGTATAATACAACAGTAGAGAGCTTACCTCTGTAAGCTCTCTACTGTAATAATACCTAATACACCATAGAAAAAAGAAAATCTCTGTTTTACAACAGTATTATTTCAGTGATTTGAAATATTAGCGTGAACTGGTGTGAATAAATTTTAAGGTGAGTACCAGTTACCATAGCTGCCTATTATGATTTTCGATATTGGTCTATTTCAATAGTTGATACATTCTTTGTTCTGGTTCTTCAAAGAGGAAATTCATCAGATTTCATGCTTTAAATAGGTTCATGTCATGAATGAAGTGAAGCTTATTGGAATCGGCTACAAAAAAGATTTCTTGCTTCTATTTCAAATTGAAATTTGAATGAACATGTTGAGCACAGACCACAGAACAATGATGGAAATAGATTCATCCCTCACAGAACCAAGGTTTTGAACGATTTTCCGATTATGGCGCCTCTATCGCAAATACCTGAACCCCACGTTCAAAACTCGAAACAATTGAAGAGTGAGCCCACCACTTAAATTTCAATACATCTCTGATATGATTCTTGCATTGTCTTGAATATGTTCATGTTGGAATAAAATTATTTTCTAATCGATTTCGACTTTTTTTCTGAAGCATATATGGATTGATTGATTGACTGAAGTTTAGAAATGTTGAATGTCTTTATTCAAAGCTGGCAGTGTTGCCAAAATGATAGGTTTTTTGCAAGCCTCAGGGCTTTTGGAATCCACTATGACAATTTTAGATTGATTTTACCATTGACCATATTTGGTTCTTAGGAAGGTTTTGGTGTGAACTTTTTCTTCAATCAGTAAGTATGGTAAAGGTTTCCTTTTCTGCTATGTTACGCCTATTTTGCTTTTATATCATACATACACGTCTGCTTTTCCTATCATAAGTCTCGTCTTGTTTCTTCGTTTTGTTTTTTCGTAAACAACAGTACTTCAACTCCAAATCAAACATGCTTTTTTTATTTTCAAACGGTTTATTCTGACATGATCTCATCAGATGAATAGATATCCACGTGACGAGGGGAACAAAAAATATAGAAACAATTTTTCTTTGTCCTCCGAGATATGAGAAGAATATGAAACGTCATCATCATCATAAAATTACAGTAGAGAGCTTACAGAGGCTACTGTGATAAAATTAAGGATTTTTTTAAAACATCATTCGAAGACGAGTTTTCAAACGTAGATCTAATAAATGAAAAATTCAAGCAATTTCAATTTGTTTTTCAGTATTTGGTATAGCTTTGAGTGCTCGATATCCTCCAAGGCATCCCATCCATTTCCATGCTCATCATCCATTTTCCTTCTACATCAGAGAAAACACACACGGAGCTGTGCTTTTCGTTGGAAAATTAAATCATGAATAAACCGGTAAGACTCAAAATCTTTTTTCAAAGAAAGAGTGTTCAATTTTTCCTAGACTTTCCTCAATTTGCATCGTTATCATTCAACTGAAGTTCAATCTATTGTTTTCAATTATTCATTTCTTCAACTCCTTCACTGTATACGATGAAGAAGAGTGGTCCCAATTTGGAACCTTGTGGGACTGTTCCAATGGCTATAGAATACAGTTTTACAGCTGATTATTTTGAAAGTGTTTGACGATTACTCGACAATAGACCTGTTTCAGTACAAAAACTCATTTCATCATTTGGAAGTATTAACCCCAAAGCAAAGCGATAGGATAAAGCACAGATTGGTATCTAGTAGAGAGAAAAGGTTAATTTCAGTTTTTCTAATTGGGACTTTGAATTTGTTGACTAACTCTGATATGTCTTTGTCAAACTACCTTCAGTTAAATTTCAAATTCAGAAACAAAACACAAAACAGTCATTGTCATTGCTATATTTATTATAGTAACTACAATCTTCTACATTTTGGACAAGAATATGAATGACTTTTTTCTGCTTTGAACGATTTGAATTCGGATCACACTGTTCACTAGCCCAGTCCTTCAGCTATAATCTCGTAATTCTTCAAAACATAGGGTTCTTCACATACAATCGCTACAGGGTGTTACCTGTAACTGTGCAAAATTTCGGAAATTTCAAAAGTATCCTAAATGAAGAAACACTTTTTTTTTAACTTTGACAGTAGATGCATGTAGATGTTCTCATTATCTTGGGACAGTTCTCGAATTGTCTCCTTATCTCTTTTATTTACGGAGTGATCTCAAAAAATTAACGTTTTGGTTTTGCAATCATAACTGTTTCTTCCTCGTCAACCGATTTTTGAAATCCCAGGCTCATTTTGAAGTTTAAACATTAGATTAAAAGATATGGAGATCACAGTTGACTCAAGATGAAAATTACACAGTGTGTCTCACTTCTAATGGAAGCACCCCTGTATCTTCCATAATTGTTGTGTTAGGATTCTGAAATTTGCGAGAGCGGTAGATATACTGAAACAACACCATATGACCAAGTGGAGTCGTCTCCAGTGATATACACTAATCGCCAACAGCCATGGGACCACCACAAAAATGATTTCGAATCTGAAAAGATTTTCAACCTAACTTGGTACTAACTATATCCGGGAAAAAAGTACTCACTTTTTTCCCACGGGAAAAAAGTAATTTATGATAAGTGACATTTTATAACCTGCCAACAGAGATGAAATGCCAAACTTTTTTCCCGTCACAGAAAAAAATTCTTATTGATACATATGTTTTTCTACTCACATAACTAAAATGGCATTTAGCGTACGGATATGTACCACGCTAAATGATCGATTAATCACGGATTGTCGATCATTGATTTATTCAAAATATTGAACACGTTACCATGGCAACACGATTTATTAAACACATTATCACGGCAATACAGTTCATTGAACACAGCTCCAGTAATTTGAGACATGTCTGGTCTGTCAATTATTGTATTAACTGTCAACTGTTATTTTCAAGCTTTGTATCAGAATTATTCAAACAATATTCGTTTGTATCAGAATTCTTCATTAAAAATATATTCGAAATGTAGACGAAAGTGAAGAGAATGTTCTGGTACTTGCATTTCTCGTAGAAGTATAAAAATGAAGCATCCATCTTTGAGAATAATTTATTTATTCTGCGGTAACCATGACAATAAACGTGAAACAAAGGTTAGTAAGCAATGGACTGGACACATCTACAACCAATATCACTTATACGTGTCTCGCTGGTTGCATGCAGTTGCATGTATTATGTTCTTAATTCCCATTCCTTTCGAATTATTTTGCAGGTTAGCAGGAATAGCAGGTATATGTTAATGTAATTTTCGGAGGTCGTAGAAAAAGCATAGTATGTAACGCGTTTATAAACTCTTCTAGACACTCGTTTATTAAACACTCGCTCCGCTCTGCTCCGCTCGTGCTTAAAATACTCGTTACTAAAAGGACGTTTAAAACACTTGTTACATAATATACTATTATTTAGCAGATGGACTACGAAAGTGAACGTATGAGAACAAATGTGAGCTCTTTATTTGAATTCGATTCATCAATAATAGTATCATTATGATAATTTTTTTTTCATTTCGTTCTTGTTTCAGTTATGATAAGTTATCACTCTGCCAAAGTTTACTATGGTCCACCACCTTCAGTGTTCCATGCTGATCATCCTTTTGTTTTTTCCATTGTAGCTGACAATGTGGTAATCTTCTCTGGCCGTGTACAGGGAGATTTCAAGTTGAATCACTAAATTTCTCGATGCTGATATCAATGATCTGATTCTTGCAATGTCTTGGATATTTTCCTATTTGAATAAAACGGTATTCTCTTATTGATTTTGATTTCTTTCAAGCATATGTGAAGAATAATAACAGTACAGTACAGTTGATTTGTTCGCTACTTGCACATCACCCTATATGTTTCATATTTCAATACTTTTATTTAGTCCAAGTATACCTAGTTGGATTATCATGTATGTTTCATGAAAGAAGTTCTCATGTCATGAGGAAACAATTGAAAATAAAAATAAATAAATTGAAAAGGAAAGCAGCATTCACATACGTTTCTCAATCATCAACTCAATACATCAATCGAATCATGATCATTCAACATACTATCGAAATACACTCCACTGCACTCTAGCATCGAACATGATTGATTGACTGAAGAGAACTAAGTTTTGAATGAACTCAACAACAATAAAATCCTTGCTTTAGTTCGAGAACAGTATCGAATAGATACAGGGTGAGTCAGAAAATGACCCAAACCTAAAACAATGTACTCATTCTAGTTCCTATATATCGACGAATGTCTTGAATTAAAAACTATCAAGGTTGACACTTTTTTTTCGTATAGGTTGGTTTTTCACTTCTACGGTAGAAAACAAAAGTTTCAGATTAGGTGGCAGGTTTTTTTGATAATATTCCTAATAGTGACGGTGATATGGTGATGGACAATTTAACTGCAAATTTAACTTCATAACTTTACATTCCTTCTTTCCTGCACAATTTAGTTGACTTCGATATTAGGTTAACTTTTAACTCTAACTAACAATGCATGTGTTTCAGATATCATATAAGTGCCATAGGTAATATTGATAAATAGGTACTCAAATTGAAAATCACATTCCATTCCCCTACGAACTTCTAGGCAAGAAAACTTTATAATATCATGAATTATTATTGTTAAAAAAAATCACATAGCTACTCATTGGAATTTTAAATTTTTTATCTGTTATAATTCATGTGGAGTGAAGAGTTTCTGATTACCTAAAATATGGAAATTGTTTTCTGTAACTATTTTTGTATGTTCATATCGACTTTACTCCAAAATTGAACATTTTATCAACAGTAAACACACAATTTTCGATTTCTACGGTGAAGATTCCAAAAAATAAGTACTCTCACCTGACCCTGTCAAATACATTCCTCTGCTTGAAGAAAATTGATTTCAATTATCAATTCAACATAAAAAGAAAAATGAGCCTACACAATTTTATTATTCTTCACCTCAAAACGTTTCGGATTAATAATAAAGGCCTATCTTCATGGTAGCCTATTTTATAGTAAATTTTTCGTTCTGCGAAAACGTTACTATAAATTTGCTATAAATGTATTATGGTCGTAGGCAAAACAGTGTACACAACTTGTTGGAAAATGCAATTGATGCACTGATGCCAATTCTTTCTCTTTTCAGTAGTGGTGTTTCTTGAATCCCTAGACGTTAACTTTGGACGGCCACCAATTGTTTTTCATGCAGACCATCCCTTTGTTTTTTCTATCTTATCCGATAAAATAATTCTTTTCTCTGGACGTGTACAGTAAGATTACTCGAGTTTGATGATATAATTAGTGATTTTTCTTTTCATATATTGATCTGTAATGTCACTGATTCATAATAAAAACATATCCATGTTGAAGGTTGATGTTTTTCTTGTCATTTCACAGTTTCTCTTTAAAATAGCATAAATGTAATTTATGGTCGTATGAAAAATAAGTGTACATAACTCGTTGGAAACTGGGTTTTCTGCATTCATGCGGAATATGTCAATTTCACCCTAGTTACATAATGAACAATTTTTACAATTCTTTCCCTTTTTAATAATGCCAGTTGCCTTATTCCTAACAGTTCATTTTGGACGATCTCTTTGTTTTATT